TGTTATTTACATGGCACTCTCAAAGTGCAATTTCTCACCACTGATTCTTATAGAAAGATCTTAGAATTATACTACTCAAGTAAATCTTAGATTTTTTTCTTATGCTGCATTTCCTCTCTTATTTTTTTTTCAATCACTTTTCAGATCTGCTACTACCAGGGCAGTCAGGGGATTAGCTTGAGAAGTATCTAATACGAAGACTCTGAGAGCCATCACAATCTCCACAATGATATAAGGACCTGCTCTATCCTGTCAAGAGTTGGGAAACTAATAGTATGTATGTGGACCTCTGAAATCCTGCCATCAGTCTCATTGGGGAACTACTGTATGGTACACTGGACAGGCGAGGAGATGATGTTAGATTGATATGCTAGAGTGTAAATTTTATACTCTATACTCCATCAGACCTCTACAAACCAGTAGAAAAAGACCCCTGAATTTGTTCATACATCCACAACATTGACTCAGAACTCACAAAAATGTGTCTCTAAATGCTGTTTATGAAGATGCAGAGCAATACTTCAGCAACAATGGCAAGTGATAGAATGATAGAAAACCATAAGCCATTCATCACACCATAATATTTATCACAAATGTATCATATAGGCAAATGCTTACATTACTTTCTGAAGTACTTTAAGACAGTATTTTCTGAAGTCAACTCCAGGTTGTATATTGTCTTTCTTTTTAGCATCTAGGACATTTGTAGCCTAATCCATGGAGCCAAACTCTTCCTACTTTCCTCATAAAATCAGAAAGAGATGTTGCCCACACACAAAACTCCTTGTCAGTTTTCCAAATGACATTGTGGTTGGTTGTTCCATAAAATAGATTCTTATATTCTTATCAGCTCAATATTGTTACTGTATAGTTTTTCCATAAGCCTTAAAGAAAGTAATATTGGGCCCTGACTTGGTTTAGAACTCAGCCTGATGCTATGTAGAACAAGCTGGTCAGGTGATCATACAAAGAAAGGAGCCCCAGCTTGGGACCTGAGCATGAGCAACTGCCAGTTTACACCAGACATCCAGTTTATGAAGAGGAATGTTCTGTACTTATATGTTCTTGAAAGATGACCTGAGAAAATTTTCTGAAACACAGTAAATGCATAGGGCCAATGATTAAGGTAGATGTTGGCACTTTTATGTTGGGGAGTATAACATCCCAGATTGCAATTTTAAATTTAAGGAAAATAAAAAAAGAAGAAAAAAAAGAAAAATGAAAAAGCAAGAACTGAATACAACATGTCTAATTCATGTAACTGAAGAGCATATATTTGAATTTCAATTTAGTATTTTTGTCTGATGAACATATTTACAACTAAGACTTGTTAAAGAGAACTTTACAACTTAGAAAAAAATGTATTCAGGCCTTGCCAATTATAGGACTTGAGTCAAACATATACTCAGTAGGCTAATTAACTTCTGATTGGTAGTCACTGAAGGGCCTTTGCAAATGTCAAGTGTTAGGGGATCTCCAAAAGCAAGATGAAAATAAAACACAGAAACTCTTCCTTAGGGGCTCTATTTGATGACCTTTTATAAAACTTGCAAACGTAAAACTTGATGACCAGAAAAGAACAACTGTTACTTAACACAGCCATCTTGAGAAAAATATGAAATTCTAGAGTTACAGTGTCCAAATGCTGAGGTTTTCTATTTATTTATTTAGTATACATTTAGTTGTTCATTTAATTACTTGTATTAGATAAGGACTTCTGTAGTTGTTGCCTTTGAAATGACGACTGTAGCAGCTGACGGTAGTTCGAACTCCCCACCCCTTTGTGTCCATCTCCTATGTGCTAGGATTATAGGTAGGCACAGCCACAGTCAAATGAGGACATTTTAAAATTTATTTTGGAATCTGCTAAATAATGGTGCTGGTAACCCATCTGAGTAAGTTCCTAACAGGCATGGGAAGGCAGGGCTAGGCTTAGAAAAATATTTATTTGTGTGTGTGTGTGTGTGTGTGTGTGTGCTCACACACATGTGTCAGAGGGAAGAATTTAATTAGGGCTTGCTTAAATTTCTAGAAGCTTATTGCATTGTTATAATTGTTACAATGGATTAAGTGCATGGCAGCAGATAAACAGACATTATGCTTGAGGAGTTAAATCCCAGATAGTAAGAAAAGAGAGAGCCATTGGGCCTGGCTTGGGCCTTTAAAACCTTAAAGCATTCCTCAGTGACACACTTCCTACAAAATGCCACCCCAATCCATAGCTCCTAATCCTGAGTCTATGTGGGCCATTCTTATTTAAACTCCCTTCCACATTATACTTCTTGGCCTCCAATAGGTTTGCAGCCATATCAAAATGAGAAACTTCATTTAGTCAAACTTCAAGAGCCTCCATAGTTTATAACATTCTCAACAGTGTTTAAAAGTGCAAAGTTCAAAATTTCTTCTGAAACTCATGCCAATCGTTTTAATTGCAACCCACAGTAATCAAAATAAAAAGGCATATTTAATACTTCCAACATACAATGGCACAGAATACACATTATTATTCCAAATGGAATGAAGGGGAATACAGTAAGAAAATATTGAACCAAAGAAAGACCCAAACACCGTCAAGGCAAACTCCAAATTTTCTTTTCATGACTGATGTGAAAGTGCCTTTCAGCTCTCCAACTCCTTTCAATTTTGTTGACTACAGCAAATTTCTCTCAGGCTGGTTCCACACCCACCCTACAGCTTTTCTTGGCAGATATCCCATGAGTCTGGTATCTCCTGTGAAATTATCCAAACTCTCGGAGTCTCCAATGAAATCCAGGCTTCAATCTCATAGCTTTACACAATGGCCTTTCTGGCCTCCATACATGAATAACCCTGACAAACATCTAGACTCAGTGACTTTCTTTAGAGGGAGATCCCATGGCCTCTTCCTTGTATCCTTGGCTCTGAAGCCAGAACCATATGACCAAACCTGCCAAATTCTGCTGCTTAACGAGACAGGAGTTGTTCTCCTTACTCAAATGCATTGTCAATGGCTTTCTGTTGTAGATGCTTTCCTACACTGCTTAAACTTTTCTTCATTTCCTCTTCATTTAGAAGAAGTTAGAAACTTAGATCAGAGGAATCTTGTCCTGAGGTCTCCCTCCCTTTATTCCATGTAGCATCGGGCTTTTCATAGGACCTAGCTCCATTACACTCCTGGTGCTCTTTTTCTCCTCACACTGCGTATTTTGTATTTTTACTTGCTCAGCTTGCTCCTTTTCATTTTAGATCTGCATAAAAAAGAACACTAATAACCACAAAACAGAGTCAAGTAGTAGGCTGTCTTGAAATCTCCTGTGCTAATGTCATTAATCTGAAACTCTTCAATATACTCTCAATTTGTGTTTAGTCATGAGCAAAAAGTGGCCATGGTCTTTGCAGGATCTTTACAAGAATGGTCTGTATACCACTTACCAATAATCTTTCCCTTGGAAACTTCTTGAGATGGACAAGACTGCTCAAATTGCTATTTGAATTTTCTTCAGTGCCCCACTAATATGTACTGTTTAGCCTCTCTTAAAGCATTGAACTGCTACTATATTTTTGCATTAGTAAACTATTTACACTTCTCTGTGACAAGAGTAGCATTGGGTCTATCCATTCTTGTATTGGTATTTGACAATAGAAACCATGTTCACCAGCTTTCTTACCATGGCACATTCAGCAATCAAACCTTTTATGATGAGAGAAATGGCAAGTGTCTTCATTTATATTAAAATGTTAACGCATCACTCTTACGCTAGATACCAAAAGACTGTTTGGGATAAGCCCCAAGAGTAATATCCTTTAGCAGCTAGTGGCAACAAGTGGGTTCTACCAGAGACTCACTAAAATGACTATTTAGCAACTACAATGAGGTGACAGCATAGAGATAAATGGTGCTGGCAGCTTCAGACTTGAGATGTATACAGGCTCTTAGGAAAGACTGTGGTATATCTATCAGTTGCAGCCTAGTGTGGTGTGAGAATTAACAGTCCATTTTAGATTCATACAGATGTATCCATAATCTCAGATCACCAGAGCACAGTGTATGTGTCCCACAGATTAAATGTGTAGTCACTTTAACCTGTTCAGCTACTTAGCATACTAAGTATTTTCTATATTTTTGTCTGTTCATTCTCAACACAGTTCATTTCTGATTAAGACATCCCTAGAATGAAGGTTATGAACATTTTCTTTTCCTTGCTCATTCCACTTGTATACTCTGGAAGACAATGATCTCACTAGCCCCTGCACTCTAAATACTATATTCTTCAAAGTGATTTATTACAACTCTGTCTCCACATCATGCAGAACTACCTGTTCAGATAAATACACGGCACAATTGTCTCATATTTTAGACACCAGTTTAGGGAAACAGCTGTAGCTTCTTTGCTGTGAATATGCTAGTCATTTGCAAGTACTAACCGAGGGCCATTCAGAGGCTGTTATTTTACTGTGAATACCATTAAAAAGAATAATTGGCATCAATAATACTTACCTGCCCATGCAGAAGGAAGGTTACACAGGCATCAAGAGCCCCAAAACATAGTCACACTTAAAACAATGCAGTACTTGCAATTTATAGCAATAAAGCCTAGAGATAGTAGTGCGCTTATGCAGATCTTCTCTATTCACTCAGTTTTAGCAACTAGGTGTGCACTATCAGCAAGTTAAAATCACTCCCACTGTTATAAAGTCGGTATTGTGCAGAAGTCCTTGAAGGTATACACAACATATTAACATCCCAAATGATGAGGAAGAATTTATAGGTTTTCAGAGAACTTAAAACAACTGGATCTCTCTAAACAACCACAAGACTACTTCAGAATGCAAACTCTATTACATATCTATTGATTGTGTTAAAGATTGTGGAAAATGAGAGAGAACAGTTACCATTACACAGGTAGATGGATTCCAGCATGAGTCAATGTAGTGGGCACATATTTAAAAAGATATGGGGTTAGACAAAGGAGGGACCTTCCGAACAATAACAAGGACAACAACAAAGATCATTGCTTAACCTGTTTTGTCAGAGCTGGTGGTGATGGGATTGGTAGTGATGGAGGTGAAGGTAGTCTTTGCGCTGTCCTTGGCAGTGACAGATTTCTGCTTATTTTTCATGGCTTCCAGTGCTTTGAGCTTCTTGGCATGTTTCGTGCCTTTGTAGTGGGCCGCAGCCTGGCTCTACAAAGGAGAACACAATGAACCATGCAATCAGGCTCATTTCTAAACTGGCATTCTCTGTATTACTGCAAATACAGACTCTCTTTCAATAACAGGTACCATTGAAGTTAATGCTGGCCAGGGCTGTCTATGGTATGATGCTTAGAAAGCAATGGGAATCAAAGTCTAAGAGTCAGAAGGAAGAAATATCCACTTGATTCCCTTAATGAGCTGAACATTAACACATCAACATTTTCCTTGTAGAGTGTGCGTGGGGTGCAGGGGTAAGAATTTATACTGGCATTGCCTTTGCTCCACCACTAGAGATACTGGGCTCCAGAGAACAATTAACAAGGCTCTAGAAAAGAGCGATTCTATTCTTTTCTGTTCATAAAATATGGTTTCTCTTCCTGCCACATGACTTATTTGTGTGTGAAGAAGTACTCATAACCTAAGATATGTGCACTCAGGTTGACCTTGAAAATGGAAATGAAAAGGCAAGGTATGGAGAAGCAGGGGGATTTCCTGATTCTTCCTTTTCATTTGCTTCCTACCAGAACTTCCTCAGAAAGCCCAATGTGATATTTCTTTCTAGAATAATTATACTCAGAAAGTTCTGAATGTTAAATATCTAAAGTGGTATATGCAGTTCTTTCATGCGTGGCTCCTGAAATTCTGTTTTAAGATAAATTTGTATTTCCTGAGGCTACTGTTAATTACAGAGCTAGGGGACATTGTTGAGATACCACCACTACATAGCTCAGGCTAGTCAAAAACTTGAGCCATTCTTGTTCCTGCCTCTGCAGTTCTGGGATTTATAGATCTGCACCATTTCTCCTGGCATGTTGTCTTAACACTGTTTTTGAGACGTTTCTTGAGAGACATTAATTGAAATAGAAAGTCATTGGTTATAAAACATCAATGTTCAGTGAAAAGAACTGCAAAATCACTTGACTTTGCAGCTGGGGTTAGAATGGAAAATGGATAGACAATAATCACTTTTAAAAAACAAAATCTCAATGAAGGACTATATTTCTGTTAGATTATCCATTGCTTTCCATTAATATTCAAGCTAAATATTTTATTTTACTAACAAAATGGCAAAGGTTTTATTATACCAGTGAGAACAGGCAGAGTCATTAATTATAACATATTTTTTAAAAGAAATACTCTACACCTTCATTTGCATCATTCTGATAAGATATTCCCAAAGGACTAGGTACCTTTATTGAAAGAACACTGGATAAGGAAATTATAGATTAGGAACAGTTTGAACAGAAAGCACTCTCATGCACTAGAACACATTTCCAACAACACAGAACATCAGAAAACATAGCATGAGCCCAACAGGAAGTTCAGATATGCCGCAGTTAACTGTAAAATCAATAATTTGTTTCATAGGAAGCCACTCTTGATAACATTTTGTTTTCTTTATACTTCCTAGTTCTACATTTCAATTTGTCATGATGAACTGCAAGTAAAACACAGGTAATTAAGTTCACATGAGACCTAGACATATTCTTCAAGTCACTACTGTGTAATATTCATTAAAACACAGTATCCTCCCAATGGTGATTGACAAAAATTGTTTTTAAAATATGTATTTAAACTTTGAATTTTAATCAATAATATTATTATATTCACATGTCTTCAAAATATGTATATGCTTATGCTTATAACTTTAAGACAAGTTTACCCTGTAGGCCAGGCTGGCTTTGGCCTCATACTTGGGTTGCTCTTGCTTCAGTCCGTTCATTATTGAGCTATTGATATGTTGTATCCATGGTGCCCAGTTTCAAAATATACATGTTTAAAGATTCTAGAAAAATGTACATTTTCCATGGGTTATAGGAGATTTTCTACAACACATCATGCTCTAAGTGAACAAATTTACTTCTGAAATTAAAATCTTTTCTACCAAAGTATCTCTGCAGCAGAACAAGCACATTCCACAAAGAAAGCAAAGCCTTCTGTGCAGGTGTAGAAAGCCTGATGCTCTCCAGTGGGTCAGAAAGGATCAGAGATGTGAAGGTGACAGAGTGCACAAGAGGTGGGAGGTCCTTGATGGGCATATCTAATATGCAAAGATTGAAAATCAAACAACTAAAGTGCAAACTCACGCTCATGCTCACCAAGTGATACCCTCAGAGGATCGTGTCAATCACCTTGGTTACAGATTACCTAGGTTTTTCCAACTAGGTATTTAAAGTGGCAAATAAAAAGGAGCACACTAGTAGAAGGGTGTAAAGTGCTGTGGGGAGTCTAGGATGTGTAGGATTTGAGGTAAATGGACTGCAAAAGTAGAGACCAGCAGAGGGTGATAATTGATTGTGGCTGAGGGTCAGCATGTGTATACTGACAGTGGAGGTGGAAACTCAGATTTAAAATGAATATAGACCAAATAACCATCTTAGATATTTTGAATTTCATTCAACTCTGACTTTTCATTGAGTTCAAAAGCAAATCCTTGGGGAATTCTGGTATAAAGGTTGTAATCTATGCCTACTATGTATATTCCTTTGTCTGCCTTGATTCATTGTTGTTATAGTTTGTCTGAAGGAAGAAATCTAGCCAACTTGCCTCATGCTTAGGCCCCGTGACTGACAGCAGAGATGATTAGGGGTATCTATCTATGTCGCTGTATAAACAAGGCAGAATCCGGAGCAGCAGAGCTTCTAGGGAATTTTCAAAGGTGCCACTTGGCAAAGACTTGCTTTGGGTCTCTTCTGTTTTTCTTTGAAGCAGAGTGATTCGTGGTAGTCTAATACACAAAAACATCCTCTGACCCCTATGAAGCTAGTTTGGGTAGTCATCAGTGAGTTGCTAAGTCATTCCCAGAAATGTATGCATCCTGAAGAGATAAGGAAATGTCCTGTTTTAAGAACAAATGATATTAGCACTCCTCCATTGTTGGTGGGACTGCAAGATGGTGCAACCACTTTGGAAATCAGTCTGGTGGTTCCTCAGAAAATTGGACATAGCATTACCTGAGGATCCTGCTATACCACTCCTAGGCATATACCCAGAAGATGCTCGAACATATAACAAGGACATATGGTCGACTATGTTCATAGCTGCCTTATTTATAATAGTCAGAAACTGGAAAGAACCCAGATGTCCTTCAACTGAGGAATGGATAAAAAAAAATGTGGTATATTTACATAATGGAGTATTACTCAGTTATTAAAAGCAATGAATTCGAGAAATTCCTAGGTAATTGGATGGAACTAGAAAATATCATCCTGAGTGAGGTAAGCCAATCACAAAAGCACACTCATGGTATTCACTGACTAATTATTGGATATTAGCCCAGAACCTTGAAATATGCAAGAAGGAAGACCAAGTGGGGGTGATTCAGTCCTTCTTAGAAGAAGCAACAAAATATTCAAGGGAGCAAATATGGAGACAAAGTGAGGGACAGAAACTGAAGGAGGGGCTGTCCGGAGACCATCCCACCTGGGTATCCATCCGATGTGCAGATGTGCAGTCACCAAAGTTAGATGCTGATGTGGAAGTAGGAAGTACATGATGATAAGAGCCTGATACAGATGTCTCCTTAGAGGTCGGCAAGAGTCTGACATATTCAGAGGCAGATGTTCACAGCTAGCCATTGAACTGATCATGGGGTTCCCAATGGAGGAGTTAAAGTGAAGACTGTTTGGAGCTGAGGGGGTTTGCGGCCCCATGAGGAGAGCAGCAATACCAACCAACCAGAGCTCCCAGGGTGAAAACCACCAGCCTGGGAGCACTTAGGGAGGGATCCATGGCTTCATCTGTATTTGTAAGGGTAGAGGGCCCTGTTGAGCATAGGTGGGAGAAGAGATCCTTAGTCTCATGAAGGTTGGATGCCCCAGTGGGTGGGAATTTGAGGGTGGGGAGGTGGGAGTAGGGGGGTAGGAAGGTGTACATCCGCAGAGAAGCAGGAGGGGTGAGGGGATAGGGGTTCCTGGGTGGGGGGGATGGAGTAAGGGGATAACATATGAAATGTAAATAAAACATCCAATAAAAAAATAAAAAATAAAAATAAAAGCCCAAATTGATGGACAGAAAAAAAAGAACAAGTGATGTTAACATTGAATGAGCAAGTATGCTTAAATTGAGATGATTTCAAATTCTGTACTTTATAACTAAAGCAAAATCATGCACACAGAAGCAAATATAGCAGAACTATACTGTAACAGCTTAAAAGAAGTGAATGGTGAGGTGATTGTGTCATAGAAATCACTGCTTGGATGTAAATTTTGAGCTAACATATGGTATCATGGAATTTAACAGATGTCATCCAAGTGGTATGTCCTGCATAAGAGGACATTGCCATTCTAAACGCTGCCTCTCAGTGCTATTGCAGGCTTCCTCATCTGCAGATTTTCTCATTCATATTTCTGTCTTTAGCTTGTGCAGACCTGAGGTTCCAAAGTGGGTACAATTAACTTTGAAGTGGCTGATATTTGAGACGGGAGTTGTCTATTAACACATATACCACCAACAGTTTACTCATGTGAATGAGACACATCCATCGGAATCCCTAGTGTCCTGGGATGTTTCATTAATGGCATGTCATTTTGTACTTCTACAACCTTCTTTTTATAAATTTATGATTTTTATAAATTTGACTTGATGTGCTTCTCAAGAATTAGGATTTTAAATGTAATCATATATACCTGGTTACCATTAACAGTCAATATTCAGGGGCTCATATGGTCTTGGGTAGTTTGTGATGTCACAAATTTGCATCCTCCTGAGCACTGGCAAGGAGATTGGTAGAGTACAAATTTCTAGTGTCCACACTAGGCCACTGGAATCAGAAACTATGAGGAGAGAAGGTTACTGCACAGATAGTGGGATATTAGTAAACTTCAAGGTCATGAGGCCCTTTAATAGCTCAGTGTTAGAGTGCTTGCCCAGTATGGACAAAAATGTACATTCAAGCTCTAGCACTGTCAAAAAATAAATAAATAAAAGTAAGTGTGAATCCATCTCTAAAATTCCAGTTCTTGGGAGGTCGAGGCAAGAGAATCAGA